TTGTCTTAAGTATTTGTTGTAGTGACAAAAAGTGAATGACAGTTAATAGTTGAAATACCTGAAATGACCCACTGGAGGAAAGGTATGACTTTTCTGCCATCTGGTGACTCCTACAGTCTTAACCAGTTTTTGTGGTAAACCACTGATCATTGGGCTTTGAACTATTGTACATTTCAAATGGATAGCTTCACCAGTTTCCTACTGGATGTATACACACTTAGTGGTGTTTACATGTGTAAGAAGAAAATAGCGGGAGGGTGGTGGCCTATACCTTTAATCCCAGCACTCAGAAAGCAGAAGTAGGTGGAACTCCAGGAGTTCGAAGCCAGCCTGGAATACAGGGTGAGTTTCAGGACATCTCAAAAAAAAAAAAACAAAAAAACAAAAAAAAAAGAGAAGAAAATAGTATATACTTTTAAAAACATAATTTGAGAACATACAAAGTATGCAAAATATGCAATCTAAGGGTACAATATATGAAAATCTTTGTCTATCAAGACTTATTTGTAATTTTTGCTAGATACTTTTTTCCATTTCCATTGGAAATAAATACTATGGATACATCCTAAAATTATGATGCTTACGAATTGAGTCTGAATGGAAAGCTAGGAATGCACCAAAAACCTACATATTTGTGATTATTTTTTCATGGGATAATTAAATTAGACAAAAGAAAGTCAACTATCTTTGAATTTTCTTACATTGATCCCTTGTTTGGGAAGACATTACATCCTTACCCAGCGTGCACTATCCAGAGCAGTCATGGTAAGAGAAGGCAACTGCCCACATTTGTTGCTGTGGCTTCAGGGAAATTAGAAGTTGGAAGAGGCAGTGAGCCTGGGCTTCGGTGGGTCCTGGGATGTCTTCCATGCACATCATTTCTTTTCTTTTTTTTGCATTCAAATACATTTTAATGACATCATTAACTATTTAAGATGAAATGAAATATTCACATTTCAGTAGGAAACATCATTTTAGTTGGATAAAAAAGACTCATCATGAACTCATTGTAATTAGAAACCAGTGAAGAAAAATTACAAGCTATATTAAGACTGTGAAGTTCAATAATAACAAAGATGCAAATGAATGGGAGAAACAAGAAGTTCTCCTTTTACACATAAGTAAAAATTTACTTATCTATGCTATAAGAGTGATTTCAAAAGCTCAGAATGAGAAAGATGATGATATCTTCACTGTTACAGAGTATAACAAAACACAAGTGTATAAACATCAATGTTTTTTTTTGCTTTGATCTAGTGTTTAAATTTACAAAAACATAAAATGAGAAAACAATCTGAACTCTCCACAAAGCAAGATTCTTCAAATAAAATTTCATTTATCCTTGAGATGGGAAACTCTGCTGCCAACAAAACAATGTTCTCAGTATCTCTCTACATACACCAAAATATTCAGGGAACAGCTTTAAATGAAAAAAACGGAGAATTTAAAATAAATTCATAGTATGGAATTATGATTGAAATATACTGTATGAATATTTTTAAATAGAAGAACGAATAAATATTTGCTGCAGAAGACTGAACCTGATGTTACTTTTTCCTTTAAAGGGAACAGTTTATATGCATGCACATCATTTCTAAGACTAAAGGAAAGCTTCATTGCAGACATGGGGGACACTGTTGACACCTCTAGTACCTAATTTCAGGGTGATGATCTCCCAGTTGTCCCTGTATGAACTTCCCTGGAAAGTCACCCTGGGCCATCAGCTGCCCTTTGCTTGGGAATTTCTCCTCCTGTTACAGGAAAAGTTCTCTCTTACTTGAAGAGCTCACAGCCTCTTCTGAAGCCTTTGGGGCCAAGGCAGATGGCCCATCATTTGCTAAGGGATTGGTAGGACCTACACCTTACCTGAAACCCCATCTACTTTCATCTATTGTGCTAATGGCTCTTTCCTGAGCTCATTCTTTTTGGAAAGTCATTTATAAAGGCTCCCTAAGTTTCGGGTTCTTTCTAGGGAGCTCCACCTATGAAACAAACTGCCCACACTTCTGAAGTTCTCTATACCTCTAAGACTATCTTGTCTCCCCACCTCTGGAGACCCACATTCTCTGAACATCAAAGAAGAGATACCCGTTTTCTCTCCCTGTATCCACCCATCCCCTCCAAGGCTGCTGAGGGAACAGATAAGATGTCTTGAACTTGTTTACCTCCTGGATAAAATACCACTCCACAGGAATCAGACCAGGAGTCAAGAAGAGGACCTGACTCATCTCAGGGTGACTTGGTCAGAGTAGGAGGGTCAGCTCTTCCACTGACTAAGCAAAAAGTACAGGGTGCTGGCTTGCCGACCTGGATATCCTTGAATGAGGCATCCATAATCCTAGGTGTCTTGAATACAGAAAGGCTCTGAGGTAGAGGGTGGCAGAGATGTGCCCTAGTGATTCCTCCTTACTCTCCAGACTCATGCAACTAAGCTATTTTTATACAACTGCTGCCTCCACCTTAGGCTCAATTCCAGAGATGATGCATGGCTATCGGCTGAGTCCCATCTGCTTTCTGGGTCTTAGTAGACACTTAGTGGTGGACAAACTCCTAGTCAAGAAGGGCTAAGGAGAGCCACTCATTTTTTTACTGACTTATTTACCCTTGTTTTGATGCCTCTGCCTTGTCTCATCCATAATCTCTATCCAACACACTCTCCCAATGCAGTTCCTTTGAAACTTGAAGGGCGGTGTTTTACATATATTTCTGTATTAACACTCCTGGCCAACAAGTGTGTGTGTTTTCTCTCACACTTATAAATTCTCTGATGTAAAGGGAGCATCTTATAATTCAAATCATTTCTGACACTAATTGAAGTCAAGCATGTGTCCCATGCAGGTTTAGAGCTAATTTCCCAAGAATTGTCCCTGACTTTGGAAGCCATTTGGATAATTGACTTTGAATGCCATTCACTAGCAGTAGACTCCCATGCTACTTACAACTTGCTCTGGGGGCAGCTACCAGTAAGAGGTGTTGTGATTCTTTACCATGATTTATTCATCAGAGTAGCCCACATGACTCAGGAAAGCACTGTACTTGTTACCTGTTTGGATTTTTCCATTACATTTGGTAATGTGGATATGTGTAAGTGTATATGCCTGTATGTGTGTTTGTGAGTGTGTAGGTGGAGTGTTTATGTGACTGTGCGTATGTATGTGTGCACATACACATGTATATGTATGTGTGGGGGTATGAGTGCTGTGTGTATGTGCGTGTGTGTCTGTATGAGTGTGTGGTATATGTGTGAGTGGTGTGTATGTCTTCTGATTGTCTAGGCAGTTTTGGAGCATAAGCTTTGTAGATGACAAATTCATGTTGTAACAAAAAGGCTGGACATTATTGCCAAGACATTCAACAGCCCCTGTCTACTCTCTGGAGGTCAGAGGATGAGGCTGAAAGTTTTGACCTTTTAGTCACATGATTGTTTCTGGCAGCCAGCCCCCATCTTTAGCTGTGTAGGAGTCACCTCATTAGTAAAAGGACACATGGTAAGAATCCAAGGATTCTCTCCTTTGCACCAAAGAAAGGCAAGAAGGCAAAACATATTTCTCATTATAAATCACAATCTTAAGGTTTTCTTGGGGTCTTGGACCTATAGGATTATCCTACAGTCTCTCATCAGCTTTTAAGTTAGTGAAAACCCAAGATGAATTGTTCTCAAATCTGGGGATACAGACAGCTAGTGACATACGGTGTGAGCTAGTGACTAATGTGGATACTGTGCCTTATGCACTAATATACTCAGAGATTTATGGAAATTTACACACACACACAGACAGACACAGACACACACATACATGGTAAAAGTTACATAGTAGAGAGTAACACTCACATTATTTCTGATAAGTATAAAACAGCAACACAATTTTACACTGGGACTACTGTGGATAGCCTCCCAGTATCTGTATCAAGCCATATCAATATTCTATATTTTTCGTTTGATTTTTTTTTATTTTGTTTTTTGAGGCAGAGTTTCTCTGTGGCTTTGGAGGCTGTCCTGGAACTAGCTCTCGTAGACTATGCTGGCCTTGATCTCACAGAGATCTGCCTGCCTCTGACTCTTGAGTGCTGGGATTAAAGGTGTGTGCCACCAACACTGGGCTTTCGTTTGATTTTTTTGAGACAGGGTTTCTCCCTAAAACAGTCCTGGCTGGCCTCGAACTCCCAGAGAGCCGCCTGCCTCTGCCTCCTGAGTGCTGGGATTAAAGGCGTGTGTCACCACTGCCCAGCTAAAATTCTTAAACTGAAACCTGACCTCAAAGGTAATATCATTAGGAAGTGGGCCTTTTGAGGGTCATTCAGTGAGGGTGGAGCCTGCGGCATGGTCTGAGCTCCCTCAGTAGAGATGTCCTAGGGAGTTTATTTGCCCTTCTCACCACGAGACTCCCAGTGGGGCATCAACATCAGTGACCCAAAGAAAACACCTCACTAGGCCCTGCCTGTGCTGTTACCCCGACCTCAGATGTTTTAACCTCTCACATTGTGAGAACTATTGTTTATAAACCACACCATCTGTGGCATCTGGTTATAATATACCAGAGAAACTAAGACATACCCAATATATAGATGGCACCGTGCCCTGGACCCAGAATTTTAGTAGAGAATCCATCAAAGTGATTTTCTTCTTCTTTTTTTTTAATTTAAGTTAGAAACAATCTTGTTTCACATGTCAATCCCAGCTCCCTCTCCCTCCCTTCCTCCCCTGCCCCCACTAGACCTCCCAGACCCCCACCCAGTCTCCACTCAGATCCCCAGGAAAGGTGAGGCCCTCCATGGCTCCATGGAGGATTTCCAGGATCTGTCATTTCATCCATGGCAGGGCCTAGAACCTCCCCTAAGAGTCCAGACTGAGAGAGCATCCCTCATTGTGGAATGGGCAGCCTAAGTCTATTTGGATGCCAGGGATAAATACTACCCTAGGCCCCATAGATTACCTAGGCCTCCTCACTGACACCCACATTCAGGGGGTCTGGATCAGTCCCATGCTTTCCACACAGCCATCAATCTGGGATCCAAGAGCTCCCCCTTGTTCAGGTCAACTGTTTCTGTGGGTTAAACCAGCCCTGTCTTAACCCCTTGGCTCATCAGGATTTTCTTTTTTAAAACAAAAAAAATGGAATTTTTAGTTGAGAAATGTGTTTTAACATACAATATTAATGTGGTTGTCTTTTTATCAATGAAGGCTTGTATGTGGGTCTTACAGGATTGTCCTTTAGAATATAGAAGTTGGCCTGTGAAGGCATGAGCACCTTCAGCGTACAGCAGTCATGAGGCAGCCCTGCCCTCAGAGACAGACCTTCAGGATCTGGGAGAGATATGAGAACCCCTGGTTTCTAGACATGATGTTCTTTCAGTTGGCACTTTTTGAGAATGGAGCTCTTCCGAGTAAAGGAATGTCAAATGTTAGAATTCCTTCCATCTTGAAAGGTGTTGGATACATTTGTGAACGGGTTCTTGCTGGCCACTCTGCAGATGTCACTGTGCACAGGTCCCTCCCCCAATACCACAGCAGATACTTGCAGAAAGTGGCAGACGCCTGCCAGAGTCTGGGCACTGAGTCATAAAACCCTAGAGCTTAGAATAAGCAACTGTTGGACCTCCTGGGCCCAAGCCTCCGCCAACTCAGAGTGTCTTTCCTCACTCAGCCTCAGTGTGGGGACATCTGGACACTGCACTGCAGGTTTAAAACAGTTGCTCACTGTGTGATGGTCTTCTAAAGAGGCCGTGATGGTGAGAACACCCAGAGGCTCAGGTAGTGGAGACAGCAGGAGACTCTCAGAATGAGGGTAACACTGGACAACTGAGCCAGCTGCGATGGTGGTTGATTCACAGGCTCTGGGCACTGCCCACAAGGATCATTGCTGTCTCCTCCTCTTGGGGGGTTTGCTCCAGACCTTCGTCTATCACCTTGTGGAGAGCGCTGTAATGTTCACGGTCTTGGTGGAATGCATGGAGCTCAGAAGCAGCTTCCCAGGCAGCAAAAGATGGCATGGGAAAGGGATCCGGCCTCTTATTTTCAAAAAAGCACTTGAGGTTCCTCTCACTCAGCTTGTTGGCACATTCCAGGAGTTTGTTTTCCAACTGTTCCCTCTCCCTTTGTGCGTACGTCTTCCAAAAACTCAGCTGCAGATAGCTGACGTTAGATTTGCAGCGTGCATAGCAAGTGGTCAGCAGAGAGAAAAAGGATGCGGAGCAAATCAGGCACCACCCTAGAATCTTAGGGAGAAAGAGATATTGAGGACACAGAAAAGCAAAATGGTATCTCAGAGAACTGGGAAATATTACAGGAGAGTATATAACCACATTAATACCACAGTCATTACTACCATCTCATTTGAAATGATTCATCTTAACTTTAAATGCTTTTTAACAGCCAAAACAAAGTTGTCTCAATATCCATATCCACTCCTCAACTCAACATTGTTGCTACCCAAAGCAATAACCAGAAGGCTGACAAATGGAAAGAGTGACTATCCAATAACTTACTACAAAAGCACTTCCAGTGGTATTACTAGAAGAAAGAATTCTTTCCCCCATCTAAGTACTGACCAGGTCTGACCCTGTTTAGCTTCCAAGATCAGGTGAAATCAGGTGCGTTCAAGGTGGTATGACCATGGATGAAAGGATTCTTTCTAATGGGTCGTGGTGGTCATTTGAATGAACGAGTGGTTTGTTAGCCAGGTGTCCAGGCATTCTTCAGTGTGCTCGCATGCTCCTGACCAAGCTTTCCCATGGGACTTTGTGTGTAGCCACTCTGTGGACCCCAAAATTTATTGCTCACAGTAAAGGAAAAAAGAAATAGTATAGCAATGCACAGAAACGTTAAAAATGTAAAGCCTTTCTAAATGTTGAGAGAGAAAAAAAGGGGGGGGGTGGAGCAAATTCTTTTCTACATATGAATGATCCCATTGGGGTTTTAACTTTAAAAGCAAACGTCTACAGCTAACATATCTTCTGACTTTATTACTTCAATTTAACTTTTCATAATCTGAATTAATTTTTGATTTGAGCAACTAACAGATTTCTTGAGAGCATCTCTTCATTTCAGTTCAGAGGCCCCTTACCAGATGGACCCCAGCGAGAACCAAAATAACAATCTGCAAATGGGTCCACTCAGATCCTAAGAGAGCCAAGATTAGCTTTAACTGAGTGGTTGCCAAGCTCTGTATCAGAAGTGGGGTTCCTGGAAGGGTCTCAGTCTACATAAGTGCCATTTCTGAGTTGGCATTCCTCAGGCCGAACATCTACCTTTCTTCTCACTGTGGGCGTTCCCTGTACCTTGGTCTCTATTGTAAAGTTACAGTTACCCATCTCGGAAGATATTTGGGGGGATCCAAACAAATGATGCTGGTCCAGAAGTTCACGCTTTCCACCTGTTATCCACCTGTTTGCAAGTGTCTCTTTCTGTTCTGTGATAAGAAGTGGGACACGGTCACTACCGTGCGAGAACCCTCCTGCTCTCCTTCAGTCACCGGTGGGCTTGTGGTTCACTCCCTCAGACCTTCCTTTCTCTCAGCATTCCTTCTTCTCCCTTGTGACTGGGCCTCATGTGTAGAAGCCTCCCAGCTCTACCTGAGTTAACCCTGATGAGCTAGAATCTATCTGGCCAGCTGTCCTCCTCCCCCTCCCAGACTCACAGCACCCAGCACTCCAACTACAATGAGGTGACTGTGCCTGGTCCAGCCCCTAGCTGCATCCTATTTGTCTCTTTCTCCAAATCCTGCCAGTTTTCTCCTTACCTTGGAATGCTTAATAATGTTCTAGAAGCTTTATGCCTCTATATGTCCATTATCTTTACATAACTTTCCACTGTGAGATCCCCCACTGTGGGAAACTGGGGTTCAGCGTTCTCCAGCACAGAGCTGGGGAGTGGCAGCATCACGATTCAAAACCAGCTGACACCAGGGCTGAGCTCTTTCCACTACTCCATTCCACCATCCTTAAGAACAGAGAGTCACCCAGCTGCTGCGTCTCTTGTTGCTCTGCCCCACCCATGAATGAATGCACTTTTCCACGGCCGCCCACATGCCCAATTATTGTTTTGGACCGTGTGATGCCTACTGCCGTCTGAACCTCATGGCCAGCACCTGCTATTGCTACATCTCCCCTACATCCCCTCAACCCCAAGTCCTTATTCTGGTGAAAAGTCACAGGTCATTGTGGCTGATCTAAGGCACGACCAGATGTGCCCATTTTCGTTGGGCTTATATTTAAAGAAGAGCTTATACAGTGATGAGTGCTTGGAGCTGGCACTGGCTGAATGGAGCCTGGTGCCTGCGGGGGCAACCCATGTGTCATTCACACTATCATAACATCAGTAATTAATACCTTCCTTCAACAAAAGATGGAAGGCACTCAGGAGCCCAACATGTCCCATCTAACTTATGCTTTGTGCATTAAACAAAGGAGTTTATTTAGGGAAATTCTTAGGCTTAATACTTTATAAAGAATATGATTTTATTATCAACGATTTTAGATTGTAGGAGCCTGCTTTGCTTTGATGTGCTTAGTGTAAGGGAAGTCCTTGCTAAAAAGGTAAAATTAGAGTGCACTTGTGTCTTCATCCAGAAACCAAGAGTCTTCCTCACAAATGACGACTCTTTATCTAATCCTACCACTTTTTTTTTGCCTCAGAAATAAGAAACCAACTTCATCTCCAGGCCAGGCCAGAGCTATACATGGAGATCTGTGTTTATATACCTGGCAAGATGACAAGTTACCTCCTTGTATTAACTAGTTGAAGCTGTAAATAACTTCTCTCAAGTAAAACAATTACCCAAATTCTGAGCTTCTAAAGTGTGGTGAGAACTTCTTTAGCTGCATAACACAGACAGTAAAGTCATAATCTCTCTATGGACTATGGTCACTCTTCACCGAAGGCCATTTAAAGACTGCTCAGTCCCACTTCGTTTGGGAAACTCTCCATCCCGACAGCATGTATGCACACAAGTAGCAGCGCCCAAGTGGTCACTCAAGGAAATCCCCACACTAATTGCACCGCATGCTACTTAGAAAAGCAGTAGCTGATTTGGTTCATCTGTATTTCGGTGGATGAAGAAACGTGTCTGTGTTTTTTGAGAAACCTGCTTGAAACTAAACAATCGACAGAAGGCAGTAATACTTAATTACAGTTCAGGGTTAGCTCACAGTGCGTGGTTTTGGTGGCTTTGCGTTCTGCATTATTTACAAAGTCAACCCAGGGAGACGGTTTTGAGCTCTTAAGTATTTACATATGCATAACCCAGTGGGTATTTTCTTTTTGGAAATGAAGACTACAGGATCCAATCAGCAATTTTACTGAGCCATCTTGTCCCTTGAAAAGCTTTTCCTGAGATTGCCTTAATGCTACATTGTGTTCCAATTTCCACTTAGTGTCAAAATTTTCTGGCAAGACTCAGACTCTGGCCTGGCTGACAGGAAGACAGAGAGGAATCTCCAAGCTCACACTGGGAGCAGAGAGTCACATTTGTCCTTACCTGAGACTGGGCTTGCAGGGACAGCTTCACCTCCTCATTGTCCGTGGGTTCCATGCTACTTCTGCCACAGGAGACTTTGTACAGCTCTTCCCAGCACTCTTTGGGCTTGCCCTTGCAAATCAGCTCCAAAAGCCTGGTGCTTCTTGTCCCACTCATAGCACATTCATAAAACGTCCCATTAAGCAAAGCCACAGAGAGCCACATCACTGGAGCCACCAATGAGCTCAGTGTGATGTGGCCCAGGACGTAGAAGAAGCGACAGCAGCGTCTCCTAGGGAAGATTTTCCTGGGGTTTATACAGCAGCCGGTGAAGAGTCTCCACGCCTTGTTATTCAGAAAGAATCCAAGTATCAGTAACACCCAGGCAGGGGCAAAGAGGAAAACCAGCCCATAGACCGTATTCTCAGTGCTGCAGGGGCACTTAAAGGCCACGAGAGAGAAGAGACGCTCGCTTCCCACGGTCAGCAAAGCCATGAAGCTGTAGCCAATAGCAGTTCTTTGGTTAAGAAAGAATTTTAAAATGCTCTGAAAAGCATCCATGTTGGAGACACACGAAGAGGGAGAAACGTTTGCCTTGGTTGCAACACAGCTACTGCGGCTGTAGCTGTAGCTGTGGAGGGTGGAGCCCTCTTGAAACAACAGTCCTCCTCTGTCTGCATCCAGCCAGATAAGGAAACAATGTCATTCCCCAGGAATGCTTATTTCCCAACAACGTTCAGATAATGCCTCCTACTGGTGAATACTGACACTTGGGGGCAGCCAAAACACCGACGATTAAACGCCAAGTGTGCAGGTTCCTTTTCATATTCTTTCCTTCTAAAGCAGGTGTGGAGTCTGCTTTAGGATGTCTCCTTGCCTCCCAACTGCCCACCTGTGGGTAGATCTAGACCTCTCCTGAACCTCAACGTGGTGTGTCATGAGAGGTTTCTTTGCTTGCTCTTTGCCCTAAGATTTAGTAGATGGGATTCTGGCTTCCAAAAACGGCATGCATAAAGACTTGAAACAAACACCGCTCAGGACTGGGATCATTGGAATTTATAAGAGAAGTGCAGAAACTAACTGAGCTTTTAGAGAAAAAGAGGAGTCGTCGTTTCTCATCGTGTAACTTCTTGATTCATATTAGAATCGTTTTGGCAGGTGTGGAGTCTGCATTAGCATGACTTCTGGCCTCCCAACTGCCCACCCGTGGGTAGATGTAGACCTCTCCTGAACCTCAGCGTGGTGTTTCATGCCAGGACACCTTTCTGTCTAAAGTGTCTTTGCCCCTTCTTCATCCCACTGTCTCCACTTGGCAAATGCTAGCTCTCTCCATTTTGTGTATTTTAGGTCTAATCATGATTTCGAATGTAAATTGGAAACTCATTCAGTAGTTTGAATGCAGTGGCTACTGAAGTTGGAAGGCACTTGAGAAAGGCCGTCCTCCATGAGAGAGCCTGTTAAATGAACCAACAAAGAAATGAATGAGGAATTTTTGTACTTCAAATTATAAATAATTTAAGAAAATTGCTTCCATTTCTCTTACGCTGCTCTTAATTTTAAAATTAAGTTAATTAGGGACTTTGAATGATGGCAAAACATCAAGCAAACAAATTTCCATTAATAGCTTTGAAAGTTGGGCCTAGGTGTTTCGAGAAAAGAAATTGCCTTGGGTTAGGAGCCATGGACCTAAAAGGCTACAGTCCTTGCTGTCATTTTACTTCTCTAAATGACAGATTACACATTTGTGAAACTTAAGCTTCAAAAGAAGAAGTGGAGCCAGTGAGATGCCTCGTGGGGTAAAGGTGATTTTCAGGAAACCTGGGAATCTGAATTGTATCCTTCCAACATACAATGGTGGGACAGGGGAACCAGCTCCTTCTTGTCCCCTGACTGTGTGTCATGTACACACAGTACACAAACAAACAAGCAGATACATGCAGAATAGTGTTTCAAAAAGAAGTGTGTCCTTGGATGCTTAAGATCTGCTTAAAAACAAAGACAGAAACAAACAAAAGGCGAGAGTAAGGTTTCTTCCATTTCTATGTTGCTGGGTTCTTGGAGTCCTATACCACAACAGACACTTTTGACAATTGTGTTATCACATATTTATGTTGCTCCCAACTCTACCCCTACATCTCCTCGAAGATCTGACATGTACAGTATAAGTCTGTGTGTCCAAAAATACATCCTTGTGTCTAATCTGCCCCATAACACCCTCTTCTCAGACCAGTGCCTCCGTCATGGAACATACGTCTCAGACCCCTTGTAACTGAATTGTATGCTTTGCCGTGATCACTGGGTATATACCATGAGGCTGTGTTGATTAATAATCTTTTTGTTTCGTGCCATTCTCAAGCCTATGTGTTTTCTCCAAGGGTTTTTGGAAATAATATTTTTTACAAATCATATTGTTCCACAGAGTCTAGCACTTTAGGATATTCTGTATGAATAAAAGATAGCTTAAGAGTCTCCCATGGCATAAGGTCAGTTAACTGCAAAGAAAAGTGTAGACGCAAGCATCCTGGTTGCAGACTCAGCTTGACGCGATGAGGATGTGCTGTGATACCTGGGTTATCTGAATAGACTTCCGTTTCAGACTAAGGCTGTCACCCTCTCTCTCTTTATCAGGTTGCTTTCAAGATGTACTTGGGAATCACACCAAGCGTGGTCTGTCACAATTCAAGCAGAAATGAATTTTCCCTGATTCTAGACAAGAATCCTCTGGCAGAGTTTGTAGAAGAGCTCCCTGCTGGACGATCTGCACTGTGCTACTGCAACTTACTCTGTGGAGTCATCAGAGGGGCCCTGGAGATGGTAAAGCACATGTTTCATCTTGCTAGCGTGTTAGCCATCAGTGCTGTCCTCTAAGTGTAAGAGCCTCAAAGCAATGCACAGTCCCTAAAGATGGGACCTCCAGGACGTGCTGTTACCTCAAACCTGCCATTCAGCTCCTTGGGAGGTAAGGTAGGAGGATCAGGATTGTATGTCCAAGGCCAAGTCTGTGATACGTAAAACGAACTCAGCACCATCCTGGGCAATTCAGTATGGTCCCGTATTAAGAATTTTTTAAATGAAATGGAAGACTGAGGATTTTTGCCCAAGAGAAAGAAATCTGCCAGATGACTCAGCTTGTGCTGTTAACCCTGACAGGCCGGTTTCAGTCCTTAGAACCCATACTACCTAAGGACTGAGCTGACTCCTGGAAGCTGCAACTTTCTGTCTTTTTTATTTATTTAAATTAGAAACAAACTCACTCCCCCATCCTCCCCCGCCACTCACCAACCCCCTCCAAGCCCATACCCAAACCCCACTCCCCTCCCTAGGGAGGGTGAGGCCCTCCATGGGGGATCTCCAAAGTCTGTGAGGAAGGGAGAGGAAGATATGCTGGAGCAGGAAGGTTGAGACAGGGGAAGCATAGAGGAGAGCAGCATGAGAGACACCATAATAGAGGGAGTCATAGGTTTGAGGAGAGATCTGGCACTAGTGAGATTTCCAGAGATCTACAAGGATGACACCAACTGGCAATCTAAGCAATAGTGGAGAGTCTACCTTAAAAACCCTTCCCCAATAATGAGATTGATGACTACCTTATATGCCATCCTAGAGCCTTCATCCAGTAGCTGATGGAAGCAGAGGCAGACACCCACAGCTAAACACTGAACTGAACTCCTGGAACCCAGTGACAGAGAGGGAGGAGTGATGAGCAAAGGGGTCAGGACCAGGCTGGTGAAACCCACAGAGACAGCTGACCTGAACAAGGGGAGCTCATGAAGCTGTAACTTTCAACTTTCATTCACACTCTGTGGTACATGTGTCTATGGGAGCACACGCACACCAAACGAATTAATAAAAAAAGAAAGAGCTCCAGGAGTCCACCATGTACGTGTGGCTGGTGATGACCTTTCATGGTTTCTCCCATGCAGCCTCAGCTGTAGCCTCTGCAGACTTGCTGGTGCTAGACAAACTGCACACACACTCACATAGTCTCAGTACCTTGCAGGCCACCGTGTGGAAGCTTCAGAAAGTTCCTTGCCCCATACACCTCTTAGTAGATCTAATCACAGCATGGCAGTCTGAGCTGCCAGCCGTGATGCTGTGTGGGAGGGGATAGCTGAAGGTGTGTGTTCCAGGAGGTGCAGGTCAGTGCAGGTCATTTTCGAGGCTGATTTTCACACCCAGTTATCCCTTGGTTTAACTGAGACAGCTATTAGCATCTGAAAGGTATTCGGGACTGAGCCTGCAAAGATTGACAAGATACAATTGCTGCCACAGAGAATCTCCTGTCTAGTTCATGAAGTCATGTTCAAACAAGTGTGATAAAGGGGTAGAGAGGGTCCTGGAGTAAGAGAGAATTCATACAGTCTTGATGGAAACTCTGAGCTGGCTTTTTGAAGGAACAATGGGAGTTAGATGAAGGTCTTTGTAAAGAGAGCAGGAAAAAAATCGCATTTCAGATAGAGGATCAGAATGTTCACAGGCCCCTCAAAATGAGAGGACCAGAAACTCAAATTAGTTCAGAAGGACTGGCATGAAGACTGGGAGAGGGTTTGCCATAGCAAAGTCTTACATTCTTTAATGATAAAAAGGGGATGTGCATGACGGGCCTGGACATTCATTCTTCTACACTGAAAGTATCAGACTAGATACAGGTTCATATTCAAGGAGATGAGAGTCTGAAGTCTCTGTTCCAGAAATTCCATTCCCTTGTCAATCAGATAAAGGCATATATGGAAGGAAGAATACTGAGGGAGAGAGGAGAACCAGTGGGAAGCTGATGCTGGTGACCTCAACTAAAACCAGAAGACACCCCTGACAATAGTCATCAAGAGGCGACTCACTGGGCCAGTACTTGCCAGGGCAAGACAGGGAAAACTCAGATGTCAGCTGGCCGAAAGGGACAAAATTAAAAAACAACCTTCAGGTTCTGAACAACCTGTAGGGAAAGTTACAATATTAACCCATGGAACAAGACTAAAAGGGTTGGAATTGATGAAGGGAGGAGCTCAAATTGGAACCTACTAATGTTGAGATGTTAAATAAACCCACAGTGAGGATTTTTTTAAAAAGCTGTTTGTTTTTTAATCACTTATTTATGGACAAGGTCTCATTATGTAGCACAGACTGGCCTCAAACTCATTATCCCCCTGCCTCAGCCTCAGAGTTCTGGGGTTACAGGTGTTTGCCACCATGTCTTGCCCAAGTTGTTGATGTGTCCCTACAGAATATGACTGAAGAGGTGTCAGAATTGACAGAAATACCTAAGGAGAGTCTTATAACAGGAAGAAAAGGGAACACGATCAGAACTCTAGGATAAGCAGCCCAAAAGACTGAGTCAAACAGAGCACAGAAGATAAGTACATGGAGTAGTCAGAAGCAGGAAACTGATAGAGAGTGATGGGATTCCAGAAACCAAGAAACAGAGTATTTCAAGAAGACAAATGAGACCACTCAACAACATAGTTGACCCTGTAGACAGGGTTTCTCATTGGGAAACTCCCAATATAACCACACAGAGACTTATTATTAATTATAACTGCTTTGGTGATAGTGTAGACTTGTTACTAACTAGCTCTTACATCTTAAATTAACCCACATTCCTTATCTGCACTCTACCACATGGTGGTACCTTTTTTCGGCATGGCATGTTCACCTCCTGCTTCCTCTGTGTCTGGATAGTGACTCCTTTGACTCCATTCTTCTTCTTCCCCACATCCTCTCTGCCCCCAAAATCCTGCCTAGCTATTGGCCATTCAGATATTTATTAAACCAATCAGAAGGCGTCTTGGCAAAGACATATCTTCACAATGTACAGAAGGATTATCCTATAACTTAACCCCATTTACCAACAGTTTGGAGAGGGCCTTAGTAGAGGCTTTGATGAAGAAAAGATGAGGGGAAAAAATAATTTGTCTGACTGGTGAGGCTGCAGTAGCTGACAAAGAGGCAATAGCCAACAGCCAACAGTCTTGCTTTTCTAGAATCTTCTCTATTAGGATAGTGAGGCCAGCTTTTATCCATTCTAAACCTGTGTTTGTTGACCTTCTCAATAAAAATCCATGCATATAATTTTATTTGTGGAAGTTAAGGAAGGGATGAAGTAACTGATAGCCCTAAAGTATAAAACAATGGGGATAATTGCACGTATCTTCCTTGCAGATCCTTCATGATGTAGTACCCTACCTAGATTGTCTTAGATTTGATCTGTGTCAGTCAGCATTATATTAAGGAAAGGGAAGAGAAGAATTGTAAGTTACACGGAAAAGGGTAACCATATAACTAAATCATAAATGGGATAAAGAAGTCTCTAGCTTTCATAGGTAATTCTTGATCATATGTGCTGATCACAAATGTTAGAAGTCATGTGGTCTCACATGTCCAAAGAGCTGCAGCAGAGTCTGTGTGTTTCTTTAATGGACTTTCTGTTATATTTTCTAAGACATAAAAAACCCATAGGGAAGCAAATTAAGAGATTAATTATAGGCCCTGTATTTCAAAGTACAGTCCATTCTCTTTCATTGAATGGTGGATGTGGTAGTTTGAATGTAATTAGTCCTCATAAGCCTATAGGGAGTGACACTATTGGGAGGTGTGGTTTTTTGAAGTCGGTGTGGCCTTGTTGGAGGAAGTATGCCACTGTGGGAGCAGGCTTTGAGGTCTCCTTTGCTCAAGTTTCACTCAGTGTGACACACAGTCTACTTCCTGTTGCCTGCAAAATATAGGACTCTCAGCTCCTTCTCCAGCATCATGTCTGCCTGCATGCCACCATGTCCCACCATGATGATAATGGACTGAAACTCTGAACTGCAAGCCATCACCTTAATTAAATATCTCCCTTTATAAGAGTTGCCGTGGAGCCAGGTGGTGGTGGTGCACTCCTTTAATCCCAGCACTCGGGAGGCAGAAGCAGGCGGATTTCTGTGAGTTTGAGGCTGGGCTGGACCGACAGCCTCCAAAACAATACAGAGAAACCCTGTCTGGTAAAAACAAACAAACAAACAAAAAAACAAAAAAAAAGAGAGTTGCTGTGGTCATGGTGTCTCTTCACTGCAATAGAAACCCTAACTAAGACAGTGGGTATCACAAGGCAAGGGTTTTGCACTCTTTATGAACCAAACAATTTGACACTTGGAGGTCTGTGGTTAAGAAAAGCCAGGCTCATTGCCTAGGAGTTCTTTATCTGGGAGGGGTGAGTCAGGTAAGGTTCAGTAAATATTAATTAATTGCCTGCTAGACCCAAGAGTTTTTCACTTATTACTTTCTTCTACCAGTTACCTTCACTTATTTATCTTCTTTATCCCAATGACTAAAAATAACTCTGATCAGATTCTCTATTGAAAATAGGTCAGCAATACTGTTCTGCTCTTACATGAACACATTTTAATGAATAGAGAGGTAAGCCCTTGGGCTTATTCATTGTCTGGGAAATGGGAAATGCTTTCAAGTTGAAAAGAAGGCCTAGCCATTAAATATTCATGTTTGTAATTCAATATCTAATATTGTATTTATAATGTATTTAGTGGGTATTTTTCAAAGCTCTCAAAGCCATAGGCAATTGCTAAATGTCGTTAGAACAAACGATTATATTGTTTAGCTAATGACAGAATGCTTTATGGCAAGTCAGCTTGAGAAGAATTCTATAAGGACCCATTTTTCCTCTGAAGTTCCTCTTGACCAAGCACTCAGAGTGAGGACTATCTGTGAGTTAGGAACTTGCATCCTTCCTGAGGCGGGTAGACAAGTCTGGGACATTCCTGGACCACTTACCCTCCCTTCAGAGCATACACCACTGATGACATGTGGCCAAGATATCTCTGGAGAATGCAGTCCAAGGTTCTTTATTCATAAAACAGATGTTACTTATCAAAAAGTGAAGACAGAAAAACATAAATGTGAAAAAAAATTTAATGACACAGGCCTGTTTTTTTTTCTCTCCTAGGTTCATTTGGCTACTGATGTTACATTCTTGCAAGACAGACTAAAAGGCGACAGGGTGACAGAAATTGGAATAACATTTCTAAAAAAGCTGGACGAGAAAAAATATAAACGGAAAAAATGAAGACTATCGTGCAGAGAGTGCCATGCATGCTTAGCTGACCAGCGAGTATTAGCTAAACACCCAGTCACAGAAGCTTTGCTTTCCCTGATGTCATGGGCTTTGACAGGCTTATACATTTTGCTGTGTATCACACATTTTCAGGATTTCAGATACACATAACCTCTTATAAAACAGCGAGCATGAATTCCACATGTTAGTCAACCCAGCTTCAGCCAGTCTACCCATTCAACTACCTGTGGCAATAGGGGGAAAATAGAGGCACCACTGTTAGGTCATTATCTCTTTTCAATAGAAAAAATGGATGAAATGATACAGCATTAGAGAGAGACAGACTCAGCCAGGTGATGGTGGTGCACGCCTTTAATCCTAGCACTCAGAAGGCAGAGGCAGATGCCTCTGTGAGTTCAAGACCAGTCTGGTCAGAGTAAGTTCTAGGACAGTCAGGACCACACAGAGAAACTGCCTCAAAAAACAAAAAGAAAAGGAAAGGTTGTATACATACATACATACATACATACATACATACATACATACATATTTGTAACAGTTCTTGTAGCTGTAGCTTTTATAAATGGTGACTACGGTTTTTCCTCATATACTGTCTTGGCTATGGCTTTAACCACTGTCTAGTTATAACCACCCAAGCTAGCTATTTATCTGGATGCCAATTCTGAAGCATTTAAAACATTGGTTAACTTTAATTCATTTAGCTTTCAATTTTACTTTCTCTAATTTGGAAATAGCTGGTATTGCCCAAATATCAATGTCTCATGACATTTGACTGGTAGAACCCATGGAGATCAAATCTGAAAGCCTTGCACCTGAACCAGCATATACTTTCTCTCTCTCTCTCTCTCTCTCTCTCTCTCTCTCTCTCTCTCTCTCTCTCTCTCTCTCTCTCTCTCTTTGGTTTTTGGTTTTTTCGAGACAGGGTTTCTCTGTATTGTTTTGGAGGCTGTCCTGGAACTCGCTCTGTAGACCAGGCTGGCCTCGAACTCACAGAGATCTGCCTGCCTCTGCCTCCCGAATGCTGGGATTAAAGGCATGCACCACCAACGCCCGGCTCACTCTAGCTCTCTTGAATGCTTTCTGGACTCTGGAGTATGCTCCTGTTTGACTATGCATTCTCTCCTGTTCAGTCAACTTAGTCATCAAACCTACCACCCTGAAGGCAGCTTTACCTGTTATTCTCAGTGACACTGCATATACAACTACTGATGCCACCAAAATAAGTATCTTTTTTTTACTTTTATTTTATCATCCTGGAGAGAAAGGAGTATCTGGGCATTGAATTTATGCTATTGGAGGTGACTCATAAACCTATAGAATGGCTTTTTGTGCTCACTGCTTCATCCTGAAGACTATGAGACTCCTGAAAGTCACATCTATAGTTTCAAATCCCCACTTCCTCTTCTTCCTTCTCTTCCTTCCTCTTTAATGAAATGTCACATTGCCCAGTCTGGCACTCCAGTCCTGGTCCTCCCATCTCTACTTTCCAAGTCCTGGGATTTCAAGCATCATGCTCCAGCTAATTTGAAAATTTCCAGTACCTACATTAAATTAGTCTAAAGAAATCAGTGACATTCATTTTAATAATAAATTTCATTTATATTTATTATCCCAGATTGTACACTTTAGCATGGATATTTTATATTCCTTCCTGATACAGTCTTTAAAAATCTACTTTATTTAGCACATATCAATTCAATTAGTTTAAATAGTTCAATAGAGTTTAAAGTAAAATGTAGCCTTCCCAAAATAATAAATTTATAATTAGTGGTGTTTAACTGCTTTGGTTTTAAAAATCTGAATCCATTCAACTAAATTGAAACAGATGCCATAATAGTCACCTACTAAGTGTTTAGTAACAGAATGTGCTTTGCTTACAGTTGCTGCTATGGGCAGCACAAATTCAAAGTTGAAGGTTCGGTGAATCTCCCTTCACTAATCTGGAAAGTCAGCAAAAAATGACACAGTAGTTCATACCAAGCTGTCCTCAACATCAGAGAGGTTACCCAGAGAATCAATAAATGATGGTGGCACCAGCGTCCCCATTCTCAGAATGTGCTTGTACTGCTGTGGGAAGTTCTATCATTTTGGGGAAGAGCTACAGGAAGTTTTTGACAGAGCTACAGGGTTTTATTATGTATGTTTCTATTTCACAAACTCTTTAGCTTGAGCCCCAAACTTTGATCAAAACAGATTCTTATTGAATGGAAATAAAAAGGAAAGGTCATGACTGTTCCTAGGTATGGTAAAGGAGAAAGTTTATTATAGATGTGTGGGAGAGCATGGCCAGAGGCAGGGACATCTGGGAAAGTCCAGAGTGGACATGACCATCAGCCATTTGAGGAGTGGTGGGGAGGGGAAAAGGGAAAGGGAAAGGGAAAGGGGAGAGAGGAGAACCAGGTGCAGCATCCAGGGTACCCAAAATAGCCCAGGTAACCAAAATGTCTAGATTACTATGGAAGAGCAGCTACAGGAAGGGCAGCCCAGTCCCTGGGTTGAAGAAGGTTAGGGTAGGGAGCAAGGTGTGCCAGCCTAGAGAGCCCTGCAACAGGTAGGGCCTGGGGGGTGTTGGGAGAACCTGATGTCAGGTTCTCTTTGATATATTCATTAGGCACATCATATTCCCAGCTAAAACCCTAAGCATCAGTGGAGAGGGTTCCTGCACTGGCCTTCCCCTGTAATCAGATTGATGGCTACCTGTGTTATCATCATAGAATCTTCATCCAGCAACTGATGGAAGCAGATGCAGAGATCCACAGCTAAGCACTGGGCCAAGCTCCCAGAGTCCAATCAAAGAAAGGGAGGAGTGATAATATGAGCAAACAGGTCAAGACCATTTGGGGGGATACCCACAGAATCCACAGAGCTGAGTTACTGGGAGCTCACTGATTCTGGAATGACAGTTTGGTAATCTACATAGAACCAAACCTGGCCCTCAGGATGTGGATGACAGTTGTGTAGTTTGGGCAGTCTGTGGGGCCACTGCCAGTGGCACCAAGATTTATCCCTAGTGCTTGAACTGGCTTTTTTGAACCAATTCTCTTTAGAGGGATACCTTGCTCAGCCTAGATATAGGGGGAGGGCTTGGTCCTGCCTCAGAGTAAGGTTCCAGAGTTCTTTGACTCCCCATGGGAAGCTTTACCTTCTCTGAAGAGTGGATAGGGGGTAGGATGGGGGGGAATGAGGGGGTATCAGGAGGAGAGGGAAGGAGTGGGAACTGGGGTTGGTTTGTAAAATAAGAAAAGATTGCTTTTAAAATAAAAAAAGATTTAAAAAATATGGGCACCTCGACCATTTGTCCCAGGTTTAAGATCTAACACTTACAATCTTTGCAAAGCCAAAGGCAAAGACTCAGATGGGTGTTGTTCAGATAGCCCCCAGGTTGCTATCTCTGTTCTGTCCCTGAGTGCCTGTCTACTGTGTGCAGTTGGGGGCGGGGCAGGGGATGGAGGGGTGGCAGAATCTTCCCCTGCACTTTGGGCTCTGACTTCTTGTCTTCCTGAGTTTCCTGTTTTCCTCGTTTAGCTACTGAAGTTCAGACACCATCAGCAGTTGGGCTGTTGGGAAATGAATGGAAAGTTCCCTGCTGAGTTGATCACGAAGAACCAAGTAGAAATATGGAAAAGCAAGTTCATCACATGAGAGAACAGTGAAGATGTTGCAACCAAAGAGACTTGCTCAACAAAAATTGGCTATTTTTTAAACAAACAAAAAGATTTGTTAAATATTTACTGATATACTAATGCGGAGTGTCACTATTTACTCACTGCTAAGGACGAATTCAGCTGGGATCATGGTATTTCAGTTTCATCCCCCAGCTGTGGAAGCTAGTTAACATCTTCTCAATAATACTGAAGGAGCCAATGATAATAGAGTAATTTTCCCTGCTATGGAGTATGGTACAGCAAGAGATGGTCTAAAAGCACTTGAGAAGGAGACAAATTTACTTAGTTCACCTGCATGTTTCTTTTCGTGTGTGTCTCTGTGTGTGGTGTTCGTGTGTGTGTATGCAGTTTGCATGTGTGTATGCATGTGGGAGACTGAGGTTGACAATGGAGTCTTCCTTAATCACTTTCCACTATATTCACCTAAGAGAAGCAGGAAGTCTCAACTGAACCCAGAGCATGAGGATGCTAGTCTAACTCTCTAACGGCCCTCTCTCTGTCTGTTTCTGTCTCTCTTTATCTTTCTTCATCTCTCCTGTCCCAAATCAAAAGTGGCCTTTCACTCACCTCCATACCATGCCAATAAATCTCTTGAGTGAGATCCCATTGGGTGATAAGAATCCTGTGGCTTTCCTTCATCCTGATATGCCAATGTATTCTTCTGACTCAAAAATACTAACATCAGTCACCACAGAAGACTCAAAAGAATTTGACCAGGAAAAATGATGTTGGAATTGGTAATGAGGTTTTTGCCTCAGAGCAGCTTCAGGACATTGACAGATACAGGAGGCTCTTCATGGCGGCTGGAGGCATCAGTGGGAACTGAGATTTTTTTTAAGGACACTGGCTGCAGATGGGAAGAGACAGGGTATTTTGCCTAAAGTTCTACTGTTTGTCCCTTTGTTGTCATAAGAATGTGGGCATCTGAATATCTACATGAGGGAGAATGCAGGCTGAAGTAGTTATGAGGAGATGGATAAGGTGAGGATCCCTATGGCGGGAGAGAAGCCTAACTCGGAGCTTCAGAAAGAGTACCCTTCTGGAAAAGGTTCCGTGACTGAGTAGTCACGGCGTGGATGACGTCTGAGCTTCAGAGGAAGAGCTCGGCTCAGCTCATGAGCATTGGCCACAAGGGTCTCCAGCAGACAAGACTCAAGGTGCTCATGGAGATGAGTGGAGGCTGAAGGAAAGTGAGCAGCTGTGAGTGAAGAATCCTGGTCTTGGCTCTACCATCCCCAAAGCAGCAAACTGTCCGCTTTGAGGGATGGGAGGAAGACATGTGCCTTGTGTTCCACTGAGTGATTCTCCACTTTGGTACCCACACAGCTGGGGTGGTATCTTCACTGGACACGCCGAGCTGAGCACAGACACCATTTCCCGCTGGAAGGAGACAGATGCAGCAGTGTGCTGGTGTGCTGTCTGAAGGAGTTCTTCTAAGCACAGATCAGATTGCAGCTGTGAATTTTTCTCAGTGTTTCCTGCATTCTGGAAACAATTATAGGCAGTGGAGATCGCTGAGGAAAGCTATGGAGAGCAACGCAGCTGAGACAATGAAGATGGTGGCTTTGGCTTTTGTTACTCTGACAAACAACTTACAGGAGGAAAGGGTAACTGGGTT